CAATTAAGTGGGTTGATTGAGTGTGGCAAGCTCCTGCGTGGCCGGAACTAACTTGCGGAGTTTATACCACGCATTTAAATACAAGCAGAGAGTGCGTTGCCATGGGACAGCGGTCATTATTGTTTTGAGAGGTCCGTTATAGAAAATAAGACGCGGTAGAACGTTTTGAAATTACATTCAAATCAATGGAGCGATCTACTGCAGCTCTGAGGAGCGTATAAAAAAAACGTTGTAATTTATCCCACGTAGGAGAAATTCACATCCTAGTTTACCACTGCAACGAGTGACGATCTGTACATATACTCTTATATACTGAGTATTTTTTTAGGATGTTCAGTGTTTCTTTTCCTTTGTTCAGCACATTGAGTGTGTTGTACGTGTACAATGTGAGTGAGTATGCGGTACATCCTATATATGAACTTACATCGAATAAACAAAAACAAAACAGGCCCTGAATTGGGATAAAAATAACGTTTATAGCGTTTTCACCACCAACCAGTAGATGTCACCTCCGACTCGGCCTCATCCAATCAGCGCGTCCTCTGGCATAGTCCCTCCCCGCCAATCAGCACGGACGCTCATTAATTTTTGAAATTGTGTACGGCTATTGCTAACTCATATCTGCCGGCCAAGTTTCACACATTCTCGTCCCTATTGGTGAGAGAAAGTCGCTCTGGACCTCCGCGCTCCTGAGTAATCTCTTTGGATTCAGTCTTTAATTTGCACAGTTTTATCTGCTGCCGACTTATGTCAGTATTAGTTTATCGATTTGTGCCTACTTGCAGCACTCTACAATGGACCCTTGATTAATTTGACTATGATATGCGCTGTCTCAGTGTGACATTGACACGTATGTCTTTGATGTGTGACGTAACAATGACTAAAAACCCCCAAAATGATCTTGACATTGCTCTGTCCAGAATCAACCACCATTTTTGAGAAAAAAACAACCGAAGCTGATTCACAAGATCCCGTATGGTATGAGTCTGATTCCTAACACTCAGCGCTGCTGCTAGCGTCACTCATGATAAACTGAAACCTACTCATGTATTCTACCTTTAGCGTAGTCATACTTGTTCATGGTGCAGAATTTTGGTTAAGTAAGTGATGCAGGAGACTAGAACGAAGAAACTCGAGAAAGTTTGTGTGAACGAAAATCAAATACAAAGAACATTTATTTTGGGTCTTGAAGTTATTTCTAGTGTCAACATAATTTTAAAATGCAATTTTCCCCAATTCTGGACACCAGATTTTCATGTGGATTGTTTCTAGGAATTGTGAAGATTTTTTTGGCTCCAAACTTAGACTATATAAATCAGACTTTGACAAATAGCCAAAGTGTCTGTCACAGCAGCACCACCAGATTTCCAATTCAATTTATTCATAGTATAGCCCTAAATCATCTGAGGACTTAACAAAACAGAAATCGCCAACACAGTCAGAGAATCAAACTTTTATAAAACACATAATATATAGTAACACCTATAGTATTGGTCCATAGGGGGAGATTAAACAATGTCCATGCGATGTATTGATAAATGTAGAATGTGTCCTGATCATCACCACCGTCCGACCTTGTTGGACCACTAACATCGTCTGACCTTGCATCTGCAAGGAAAAACTTAGTGTGGGGAAAGTGAAAAACCTCAATTTTCATTGCCACATAACAGGAAGTCTCAGACTGGAATTGCTTTGGCTCAGTGCAACAGTCAGAAAGAGGGAGAAGAGAATGCATAGCCTAAAAAAAAATAGGGGGGGTGGGGGGGGGGGGGGGGGGGGGGGGCAAAGGCGGTTCTAGGGGGTGGTATAACAGTGTTTAAAAATGGAATGGATTACAATATACAAGTGCACACAACAAAGTGACAGCAGTAAATGAGAACCACAATTCTGAAACTAAAGGCTACCCATATTTTTGTGATGTCAATACGGACAGCATCCTTTAAGACCAGTGGTCTCTAACCTATAGCACCCTGTGCGCCCCTTTCGGGTAGACTCCCCACAGGATTAGAATTGAAACCATGTCCTGAAATGCAACACTCCAAAGGTTATCAATCTATAAAAGTAAAAAATGTATAAAGATGTATAGCACATTTTACATGTGGTTTCACCAGGTGTGGTCATCATTAATTATGCACAGATTTTGATTACGACTACAAAAAAAGGAGTAGCTCCCTCCCTCATCGTGTTGTATACAAGTAGCTCTCCGTTTGAAATGATTGGAGACTCCTGCTTTTTTTTTTAGACTGTATACTCATGGGTCTTGCTGTTTGTAGCCTGGACGCCACACAGAACCAGAGCCTGATGGGGAAAGCGACTGTGGGGTCAAGGAGAGCTGCTCGGTGGAACTCACTAACATCAGACCCTTCAGCTGTCAATACAAAAGGTAAACAATATTATGTCACAGTTGGACTTTGCTCCATAAAGGACCATCTCAATATTTTCCACAGAGGTGAGCCCTCAAGACACAAGCCTGTCCTCAAAAAGCCGTCCTCCTGTAGACCCTGCAGGAGGGTCAGTGAGGGGCTGGTGCTATGTGTACTGGGTGTAGCTCCGACTGCCACCCCCCCGACCCAGAAATGGAATAAGGGGAAGAAAATGGATGGATGGACGGTTAAACATTAACACCAGTTTGAGGCAATGTTACATCCCTATTTAGCAGATGGTAATAGGACCGGGATTGGTCGTATGCTTTACATGAGGCAATGAATAATAAATTCCCACTAAGAATTTCACTAAGAAAAATCACAATATTCCATTTACCTTAACAAATAAATGTTTTTTATGCAAAAACAGGGAAAATCCTTGATTTAGATCTTGCAACAGCTTTAGATATACAATAATCACGGCAAAGTTACACTGTCCAATGCGGAGGTCCTGAATTGTCTGGACAGACAACTGACGGAGCCCCGACAATGTATCTCAGCTCCAGCTCACTTCATGCCAGCGAATATCCTTGTATTCAATACACTTTTTTCATTAGCTTCAAGGTTTATAAAACCTAAACAATAAATCTGTAGAAGAGGTAGAAGAAGGAAGGACCGTTGGAGATCCGAGGACTATCAAACTGGTCATGCTGAAGGCGACCCACACCGCTGCCTCGTGGCTCCATCTACTGCTCAGTCTGTGTACTGCAGGAATACAGGAATGTACCTGGAAATACAGAGCGCATTCAAATACGTACTGACAGCATATACTGTATATATTTCATTTTTATGCAGCTACAAATCTTACTCAAAATGTAAGAGAAGATATTAAAGAATTGTAGCAGGAGTTTCTTCCCCTCAGAACCAACAGAGCAGAGAGGGGAATGGGTTTGTCCCGCAATGCTGTGCCTCTGTCTGTTCCACAGCCTGGTACTCCCACCAGGCCGCTCCATAACAGACCAGAGAGGGATTCATCAAGTCACCATGAAATGCATGTTGCAACAAAAGTACACAATAAATGGACAGGTTTGGTAATATTTGGTTAACTTTCCAAAAAACAGGTCTAAACTTAAGGACAACTAGATCTCAAACCACAAACAATGGCAATATGTAAGAATATCCATCTTAGATGTTCCTCTTTCTAAAATAGATTGGTTCTAAAATGATTCCTTGTGTGTGCGTGTAGCCTTTTCAGCTATTGTATTATTTACAGCTTCCTTTCATACATTGTTAATGCAGTTGATAACTTTTTCATTTGGAATCCCTGGTATTGATTGTTGTTGGAGTTATGCATCAGCCGCATCAGTTGTTGTTTTTATTTATAGTTTTTTTTAGCACAACTAATCACCATCAACAAAAGACATCAACAAGCAAACAATAGTATTGTTTAAGTCATAAAGATAAAACTGTCTCAAAATTCGACTCTTTAATAACGTTCAATTTGAAAATATAGACAATAATTATATCTAGAAACTGATTATTATTAAAAAAAAGTTACTTAAATGTTCCAATTTAGAAATGTTACTGATAATGATTTAAAATGCAGTCATTGATTCGTTGTTAATTGACTATACATGTCAGGGTCACCGTGTACCATTATATCGATATTGTAAGATTGGATTCATTAAATGAAAAGACTTATCTGTTTATGCATGCACGTTTTACCAACATTGTATTTCTTTAGCAAATAGCATTTACAAATCTATCAATAGATGGATACAGATTGCTGCCATTTCTTGTAGGAACAGATATTATCTATAAGTAAACACGTAAATGTAACTTTATACACCCACAAAGCCTGTTGTATGCATATTTTTCAGTACAAATCCACAAATAGGATGAACAGTACCATTTTATAATAGATCCACGTTGTTACTCTTGTACGGCAGCCGCAGCTCTGGAACGCTCTGGAAACCTGCCTCCAGCCTGGGGTGCCAGAGAGGAGACTTTTATCTTATGCTATAAATATTGTCTTCTTATCTCTAAAGCTGGTGTAAAATACATGTTGTTTGTCTTGTAAATTCACAATATTGTGGGCAAATCAGGCCACAACATGCTGTGTTCATTGTGTTTGAAATAATATGTAATCTTTTGAATAAAAGCCTTGTGAGTCACTTTTTGACACTTTGGGTTGAAAACTGATTAGCTGAATAAGGGTGGTCCTCTTGATCACTTTTATGTTTGATATAAATGATCTAAAGACGTGACACAGGCAAGCACGTACAAGATGCATGCTTGTAAACCATAGACTGTATTGTAAACTAGTGATATAATAATGTTACAATAAAACGCGTAATGTCACATCGCACACTGGCAACTTAATCCCGTACACTCTTCCAGGCTGCATTCAAAATCTTTCAAAATACCTCCCTCCTCATCCTGCTTTGCTCTTTATTATCTTTTTAGCTCCCTTGTTTTGCATCAATTTGTACCAAACATGATTAATGCGCTATCTAAAATGTATTATATTCAACCTCACACGTGCAGTTACCCTTTTTATTTAGAGCTAAATGAAAAAGACGACGAATTTGATTTATTTCGAATGCAGCCTAGTTTTGATGACGGCATTGTCTGCGCATGCGTCTCATTCTCTGCTCAAACAGCATGGCGGACGAAGTGGAGCAGGTTTGTGCCGCGAAATTCACTTATTTCATTTATTTCGTTCATCTCAGGGCTGCCAGGAATAATGTAGCTGTAGATTCGCTCGTTAATATAGGCAAGTTATGTATAATAAACAGGTTTGGCTAACAAAAACGTGCACACCAAGCCCCAGCTCCTGATAAATGAGCTGCACAATATTTTATAGTTAAAGGAAATTTAAAATCAATATTTGTTCTTATAGAAATGAATTGCCACATGTGTCAACTCTATTAGTGTCGTTACTTGTATTCGATTGATGGGAAAACCGGCATATTTATAATACCAACTCACTCGGTCTACAACATACACATTTAGAACTGTTTATATATTTTACTTTGTGCAATTTGGACACCAACGCTCTTTCTTTGTTTTTTTAAGGAAGTTATTATTTTTGGTTGAATGATGAAGTTTGAACAAGGGTTTTTGACACAGCTGTTACTTCACTATATTTAAAGAAAAAAATATGCTACACATAAACAATGTGTGCTTATTAAATGTCTTTTATGTTTGTGTGTTTACCCTGAATATCCCATTTTAAGGCATCCGGGTAGCTTTACTGCTTCAGTGACCTCTTGTTCCAGTTTGTTATATTGACAGGAATGTGCCCTAAGGCAAAAAGTGGACAAGAACTCAAACCTCCTTCAATCTGCACTGTTTGGAAGATGTTTTAATTTTTGCTTTCGGCCTCAATAAAAAAACATTAAAAGAGCCTTATGTATAAATTCACAATGAAAATAGTACATATTCTTTTCTGTACATTGCAGGTATCCAGTGTCTGTAAGAATGGCCACCTAGTACCTTAACTTTTTATCATGGTCGTGTCTACAGTGGCGGAGCCAGACTTTTAAACAGAGGGTGGCCAGGGGGTGGCAAGGGTTTTGTTAAGGGGTCCACATTTATACTATTCCAAAATTTTATTTCACACAAAAACTGGCTAAACGATACATTGTAATCTTAATCTTGTCATTATTTTTAATATAAAGTGAACTGAGAACACACTTGAAAACTACAAAGCAAAAAAGGTGTATTTAAATAGTAGTCTGAACAAAAAAGTGCAAAATAACATTCAAACATTGCAAGACATTTTTCTTTAACAAATTTAGCAAATTCCCGCGGTTCTGGTGTAAAGCAGCAAAGATGTTGACAAACTCATCCATATTCAGCCCTCCTTGACTCTACACTGAGGATACCAAGATGACTCAATCATCTGCCATGGTCGTTCTGAGATAGTTTTTAGGGCAGAGAAACTTATTTCACAAGACGCAGTACTGACAGGCATTAAAAAGATCTTTGCAAGCCTCAAAAGCTCATGAAACACTTTCCAAACATTCCAAAAGGACAAGGAAGTCTTATAGGGTCTCTCTAATCCATTTTTTCCTCCCAAGAAGCCGCCTAGTTTGACGTACCTCATACCTCGTCCTCTATATCTGACTCAAAGGTTCTGCCAAATGAAAACAGGGGCTCTTCTTTCAAAAATATTTTGGGGTTAAGCGACTGCACATCATCCATAATCTTAGCTATTTTTTTTAATTTTTTGTGTGTGAAAAAACGCCTTCTGCCAATAGACAATCCTGCACCTGTCTGCGACACCCTCTCATTCTCTGAAACTCAATTATATAAGCTATATTTTAATACAACAAAACAAATTCCTCATCATCTCAAAACATACTGCCTCCGAGTCTGACCTTCAGGTGAGGTTTCATCTTCCTGATCTACAGGCCTTTTCTTGACAAAAAAAGGCCTGTAGGCAGTGTTTCCTCCTTTTCTTTTCATGTTTACACTAAAGGGAAGAGGACGATGATACGATGGGCAATTAATTATGGAAAATACACACGCATGCACACCCTCACGCACACAGGCACGCAGACCCACACTGGCACACACAGGCACGCACACACACGCAGACACGCTGACACACGCACACAGGCGCGCATATAGGCACGCACACAGGCACGCACACACACATACACACACTAAAAGTTCTACAAACTGAACAAGTAATGCGCTGCAGTACGTGTGTATACTTTGTGTCAAATGTAAACGGCTCTGCATCGCTAACTTACCTCTTTGTTTTCATCACGACTTGGGCACATGTGAGTCCAACAACCCAAAGCATTAGCATACAGCATCAGCTCCACACGGAGTCAGGGTGCGTTCACAGACGGGGGACACCGTGGGAATTTTTAGCTTTTGGCGGAAAAAGTGCGGAAGATTCTCAAGATTAACATTATTACATTGCCGTTTTCCGAGGGGGGCACTGGGGGTGGCAAGGATATTTTTAGAGGTGGCAGTGGCCACCCTGGCTACCCCTCTGGCTCCGCCACTGCGTGTCTACTATGCTTCTGAATCAGTTGTTTTGGAGGTTTGTAAACATTCCAAACAATTAATCCTATAGCATGTTAAAGACCTCTGGGATGGGCTGTTAGGCTGACCACTCATGCAGCTATTGGGTAACTAAAATATATATATTTAGAATTTCTTCACATATATATTATATGCTCTTTTTGATTAAAAACCGATCTCATATGAAGTTGTTTTCACGGCGTCTATACTACTGAGGTTTTCAAAGTTGTTGCACAAAAGTATACTAATCAACTTGTAAACTGGCAAACCAAAAAAACAACAGGATACAACAATCTACAATGCACAATTTGCAAAGGGTTTGACAGAGCAGGTGACTTGTGTGTCATCATGGACGGAGCAGTTGTCTTGCTTTAAAGGTTTTTTGCCTCCAATATTGTCAAATTCTAAGATTATTTACTCATGCGTTACATACAATGTATACATGTTTATCCAAGACGTTTTCTCACAAACATGAAATATCAGTGTAAATTAGAGATACAGTCAAATTAGAGATGCAAAGATATATTTTGGCAGCCAAAATGAACACAATAAATGTGTAAAATGTTCTACTTTTCTAAATTTTATATTTTAAATGTAGCGATACAAGGTGAATGCAGTCCTCAGGTGTCCCTCGTATTGTCAGTGTGTTTTCTCTGTCCCTGACTGTTGGGCTTGTGTGCTTGTCTTGCAGCAGCCGAGCACCAACACGGTGGAGGAGCCGTTAGACCTGATCCGCCTCAGTCTGGACGAGCGGATCTACGTGAAGATGAGGAACGACCGCGAGCTGCGAGGAAGGCTGCACGTACGTCAGGGCTTGAGTTCACAAACGTCTCAGTTATTTTGGAGACTATTCTAGTACTTTTCAAAGTTCACAAGTCAAACATAAGAGTTGATATTTGAGAGAATTGACTTAATTATTCTTTCAGTGACTCAATTAGTTACAGATTCACTCCGAATCAGGCAAGGCTTAAAGTTTTCATTCACTGTGACAGAGCTATAGTTATGTTGCTCCTCAACTGATCGCCCCATCACCCCCAGCTCGAGTGAAGGTCATCTGAAATCATAGCAGCGCATAAGCCGCGTTTCCACCGCTGGAACTTTGGGGTAATTTCACAGGGCCAGTCTCGTTGGTGCGTGTCTTCACTGCAGGAACCTCCTCCACAGGGCCATTTACAGGAACATTTATGGGAACCAACTAAGTACCATCTCCATGCTAGCACCAAAACCACTGGCAATCTTAAAATCCAGCAACATTAGCCCAGCAGCATTAGCCTAGCAGACACCACTGGAAACAGCAAACAACAACAGCAAGACGTTATGTGACATTTATTATATACTGTAAATGGACGGATGATGAGGTGAAGGCAATTGCCCTCTACGGCACCGCAGAAATTCAGACGGGATTTATTCCTTATGGGATTATAATCATATGTTGCTGTCCAATGTAGCGCTATCCAATAGAATCTGGCGTCTGTGGTATAAAAAAGTGTGTGTGTGTGACAGGCGTATGACCAGCATCTGAACATGATCCTGGGTGATGTGGAGGAGACCGTGACCACAGTGGAGATAGATGACGAGACCTATGAAGAACTCTATAAGGTACACACACACACGCACACACACAACTTCCATGGAGTGGTTATGGTCACTCTCTCTCCCGATATCTTTGCCCACATGACACTCAAACCAACAACGCGCTTTCTGCTAGTTTCCTCTCGCAACAGAGAAAAGGCCACGCAATATTTTTGGCCTTAAACAAAACATTTAATTCATAATGACTTTTAAACTTGTGTCATCTGGAATCCAAATACTGTTTATAATGAGATCAGGTCAGCCTTTGGTAAAAAAAAAATCAGTTTCCAAGCGGCTTTATTCCTTCCTTTTACAAGCTCACAGTAGAAGTCGTGTTAATGCTTTTAACGCTTCCATTGTTTTCCAGTCGACCAAGAGGAACATTCCAATGCTGTTTGTGAGAGGAGACGGAGTGGTCCTGGTCGCCCCACCCCTTCGAGTCGGTTAAACCAATCTGCTACTTTTGCTTGTATTAACCCTCGAGTTTTGTTTATTTTCATACCAAGCGTCTGTACACTTTTGGAAACGTTTTTCAAACTGTGCACTTTTTTTTACAATTACATCTGAGACACAGCAGTCATTTTTGTTTCATGGGTATGTTTTATATGTAAATTCTGATTTGCTTTGTTCATGTAGTGTAAAGTGTTCATTTTGGATCATACTCAAGTTGAAAAATTAAATGAAAAAAAAAAAGTTAAATCGTTCTTTGTTCACTTTCCACAACATATTGAACCTGTCCTCCACATGACTGATTTTAGTGTTTTAGCCTCACATCGGAAGGATCTAATTTATTTCAAAAGCAATTACACCAAGTGCATAAGTTTTCCACCAGAGGGCAGTGTTGACCTGGATGTGATTCAGCTGAAGACCCTCAGAGGAGTGTATTAATATTTACAAATCTCGGATTATAGCATTTGCTGTATTTTCCAACACAATAAACCAGTGAGAGATACTGATTACCACTTGTTCTGACGATGATGGTGTGGAACTGTAGAAAGCATTGGTTTAAGTTCTATCTTAGTTTCTCTTTCAAAACATTTTACAAGTATACTGTATATCAGAACATGAATATTTCTATCAAGGACTGGATTTGATTTCTTTGCCATTGCTTTGCTAACCAGATGTAACCATAAGCACATGTTCACACTGTCATCCAGCCAACTTCAGCTTTACCAAAATAGACATGTTTTATCTCTTAGCACAGTACCGCTGGAATCCAGTCATTGACAGCTGACATGTGTTTGACACCCCTGGTGACTAATGGGGGACTGTTGTACATGTCTTTAGAGGTAGTGGAAACCGGTCACCCTAAGATCAGGGGGAGAACATGAAACCCCTGTTTGTATGTGTAATAAATAAACAAAATAAAGATTACTCAATTGAACCTTAAACCGCTTGTGCTTAACAGGACCTTCTTGTTTAGCACAAGGGCAGACTGCTGCATACTACCCAATAGTTTTAAAATAATATAAATAAAATTAGACCAGACTGAGGTTCTCAATGGGTCAAGCGCATGTGTTCTTTTAAAACCCCTGTATTTATGTTTGTGGAGATGCAAATCTGCTGAATACAAAGTATTTAAATTAGATGTCATTTTTAAATAGGAAATCAACATACATTAGCTTTTGATGAAAAGACTTTATGTTGATAATCTCTGGACAAAAAGGTTGTATAATGATTATGATTTTGAGAAGTCCCTTTGTGTGATGACTGCTCTTTCTGGAGGAAGGAGGACCGCACTGGTGTCCTCTGGACAGGAGCACACACAGTATGGGCTGTGTGAGCCCAAAAGCCGATGGAAATAATAGTTTATCAACAATAAATTAAAAGCTGCATGTGTCTGAATGTTGTGGGCAGAAACCTGCGGAGTTACGCAAATACAGAGTGAAGACACCGCTCTGGTGGTGTCCTCACCACCGCAGTAAGAAAAGAACATTAAAGTGATTGTCTGGAAAAAAGACAAAAGAGAGGTACATGATTTAAAAAAAAAAAAACGACCCAAACTCCCTCCCCCTTCCGGTGCACGTGTCAGGTCAATGGTCCAAGACGTGCGAGGAGAGATTAGAATATTTAATCATAATTTATTATACAGCTCCTCACAGCAGCAGTAGAATGCTCCATTGATTTGAACGTAATTTCAGAACATTCTACCGATCATTATTTCTTGATAACGGACCTCTCAAATCAATAATGAGCTCTGCCCGTGGCAACGTAAACTGTGCTTGTATTTCAGGTGTGTAAAATACTAAGATTACTCCGTGTACGGACTTCAGTAGTTTGTTCACACAACAAACAGGCAACAGGCGCCTGTCACGAACCGTATACTGCCTCTGAGAGAGAAGCTATCAGAGCTATCCACGCTCAACACATTTAAATGTTAATTGGAAAATACAGTACATTATACATATACATTCTTAATACACGTGCACAGAGGTTTTCAGAATGATCTGTTCAAGTTTTCATGACAAAAAAACAGTTTTAGAGCCTAATGGAGGCTTGATTAGGAAGCTCCGTGAAAACAAACAACTGAGCACGAGCAGCTACGAGCACGAGCAAGGATTGACAGCCCTTGGCATCACTTGATTGGTGAAAGTAGACGGCATCGTGGATTTTGAGCTATAGCTAAGAGAAGGGAAGGCGGTACTTACCCATAATATATCAATTGATAAAATGAATGATTTTATATCAACATTTAAGCCCAGGAGATCCATCCATCCATCCATCCATTTTCTACCCTTTAATCCATTTCTGGGTCAGGGGGGTGGCAATCAGAGATGCCACCCAAGTCTCATAGCACCAGCCCCTCACTGACCCTCTGCAGGTGGTGAGTCCACAGGAGGACGGCTGCTCTCTGAGTGTGAGCATAGCCTTGATCTTTCAGTGGGGGCTTTTGGGCAAAGTGGGGTTAAGTGTCTTGCCCAAGGACACAACGGCAGTAGTCATCAGTGGGAGTCGGTGGAGAAGGTGTAGAGGTGGGAATTGAACCCACGACCTTCAGGCCTTAAGGCCAATGCTCTACCAACTGAGCTACTGTCGCCCCGTATACTGCAAGAGATCCATTTAACACAATTCTTTAAATGTTCCAGACTATCACTTTAAAACTCACTATCCTGTTGACGAACAGGATTTTGGTGATTGTTTTGTGTGTTATGTATATTATTTCATGCTTGTCCTGCCTGGATTTTTGTCATTGTATTTCTTGTGTTTGAACTGATTCTCTGATCTGTGTTGGCGAGTTTGACAGTCCTCAGAGATACTGTTGTTACTTTGGGCTATGCAAAAATATCCGTAAATCACAACAGAATTTAATTGAATTCATTCCTGAATTCATGAATGAATGAATGGTTGAAACTTGTGGACAGTGTAGTGGACTTTCCCACATTTGACTGCTCAGAATCGGGTCAGAAAAAGGCAACAATAGTATGACGTATTAGTACAACTATGACATCATGCTATCATGCTATGATGTCATTGCATGTCATACATGCTATGATGTCATTGCATGTCATACATGCTATGATGTCATTGCATGTCATACATGCTATGATGTCATTGCATGTCATACATGCTATGATGTCATATGTTATTTTTTGTTAATTTCTGTGATGAACTTATTTCATTTTTTAGTTTTTACAATTGTATGGCTGTTTGCAGCCAGTAATTTTATATTTTGAAAAAAAAAAAAAAAAAAAACATTTAGATTGCTCCTTCTGTTGCAGGGGTGTCAAATAACAAATTTGGTACGGAGGCAAAAAATTACAGTTGAACATCTTTCACAGAAAATGAAGTAAAAAGACATCATATTTCTTAGGCAGGCTATTACAATTTATAGCAGCCTGCAAAATACATCTGAAATGCGGCAGAATTTTTAACCAAAGCTTTGACACAATATAGCAAAGAACCTTTCAGAGGAATCATTTCCAGAGGACGTCTGGACGATACTGTTGTGGTAATGGCTTGTTACGTTTGGGACTGGTTAGAATTGGGGCGCTGGGCCTTGCAGAGGAACATCAATCATTGCTCAAGTCTTCGCTTCAATGAAATGTTTAAACCAAACTGTGTATGACTGAGAACATCGATATTCAATCTTCATTAACTATCTGTTCAAAACTCAAAAAGTAAATTGAGAACATGTGTTTTTCTTCGACCCACTTTGAGCTGATAATGTAAGTGCAAATTAAGCTGTAATAATAATATAATAATCTTTCAATAAAGACAATTGTTAAATATTGCTTAAGTATAAATCAATGTGAATGTGTATATTAAGTGTACTGTAGTATGTAATATTTGAATATAACTATTACTAATCAATTTCATGTATACAATAATATTAATATCTATCTATCGGTCTATACATACACACACACACACATGCACACACCTACACACACCTCTTACATAATGTGGTCCACTGCTGGCTCCACATGTGAGCATGTGCACTTTTATTTCTCTCCTGCAAGGCTATGTCGACTCTGGAGTTAAAATGTGTTTATGATGTGATTATACAAATATAATTCTTATGTTGGTTGTGATCATTCTAAAATATGACTGATGTGGTGGTTACATTTAGTTTTCAATGAAAACGGGTTGTCGGGGCGATGGTGCCTTGATTAAAAAAAGATTTCCCAAACCTTCACATGTCTGCCATCAGCTGAAGCCTTTTCACATCGACATTGATTGTGGGAGGTTTACCTGCAAAGTCTCGGAGAAACTTGATATTTAGGCATTATGGGTACATTTGAAATGATAAGAGCACAATGCAAGATTTCTTACAAGTGGCACTTAAAATTATGTCATAACATATACAGTAAAATGAATTCTGGCCTTGCCGTAGCATTTGTGTTGGAACACTGAGCTTCTAGTTGTTTTCGCTGCCACCCGTGACTGTGGGTTTTCAAGTAACCATCAGCCCACATTCTCTGCATGTAACCTCTCTGCAGGGAGGTGCTCGAGTAATAGCATCTCCGCTTGGTTCCAGTTGCCCATGTTTGTGTCATTTAACATTATGTAGCACAAAATCTGTTTATTTAATACAATCTGAAATAACTTTATTTTATTTTTGTTTTATTGAAAATAAAGTGTCACAACAACATGAAGCTACAGTACATCTGAAATATTTGAACACTCTGCTATCTCTATGAAGCATAAGGAAAGTGCTCATGGACAAAGTTACTAACCATTTTGAGCGTATATATCTGAGGTTTAACCTTGCATAAACATGCTGATCCTGTTCATATTTTAATATTGTCTTTGTAAATTTCTGATACAACGTCTAACTACTGACCAATCAGGGGCCTTCTGTCGCCGAGCCGAGTGGGGACAGGACTGCACTTCTCAGTCCGCTGCTGATTGGCTCTTTGGTTATTTTTAAGTGTGGCTACACTTGCATCCAAAAGCCAGATCCTGTGAGACCCCTGAAGCTGTGCAGGGCAGGGCCTGGTTAGTGCT